CGTATGAATGAGCTACTGAGAAATGCTACATGCAAGACTCGCCTCGAGATGGTAGCCCCTCCATAATTTGAAGGTTTTTTTTTGCACGATTCAACCTCATTCGCTTCCATCCAAACCCTTGACGTCCAATACAGATAGTTAATTCCAGATGCTACAATAGGACAGGAATGTAGGCTTTTAAAATATGTCGGCAATCTCAAAATTATTTCTCTTCGAGAACCAAAAATCAGTACCTTTGAGAGAGTGACATCTTTTAGATCTTTAAAGTTTTGAGAAGGAGGGGGGTGAGTTTGGGTTGATACACACAACAGTTTCTGTATCACATGTGCTGTTACGGTTAGGCGAAGCAAAACAGAGACACGCTAGTTCGCTGCGGACGGTTGGGCGTGTCAGGCAGTATGAGTGTGTCACCCCGTCAAAGCCGTTCTCTGCCTTCTTGTTGAAGCGCGCATGCGACAAAAAGTGGTAGAAAACGAGTAATACGAACGATATGATACAGTCATATCATTTGCTCGCTTTAACAACTGGTGGAGAACGGGTTTGGCACCGCGCCAAACTCATCCCGCCTGACACGCCCAACCGTCCGCAGCGAACTACACTATCCTCCTTCTGCGCCACAGACATTCAATCGCAGCGGTGATTGGTTAGTGATCGATTCATCAGAAAAACAAACAATGAGGGATGGAACGAGCCTACCCGCTGTGATGGAACCGGGTGGGTGGGCTCGTTCCATCCCTACCGAAACCGCCCCGACTGATTGCGACGATATCAACTGTAAAACTGTGGGTATGCACAGGAATGCCCGGCATCGCAGCAGAGACAACTGATCCACGAAATAATTTGAAGTTAAAATTTATTGCAAAAACAATCAAAATTTCGTGATTTCCATGAAAGCATTGAGACAGGTGCTATTGATCAAAGAGGGCAAATCCTTTGGATATATTCAACGGTCGGAGTTTAGTTGTACTATTTTCTGAAGTAGAAAGTACACCCACGTATAAGGCGCACCTTCGCATAAAACGTCGCGGATGTTTCCTCTTCACTTTACTTTTGCGTAATTTAATTCCTTGCAGCTGCGTATGCCAACATTTGGAGCGCGTTGTGCGCGGAAAGCGCCTCACACCCCAGAAAATGAGGTAAAAGGATGGAGTTTCCACCTTGATTCCCTTTGTGGGATGCGGCACGCATTCTACTTCCATTCAGAATCGTAGTGGCTTATTGAATGCGATGTGGCCTATACAATGACTTGCGGGGCCAGCCGATGTACAAGTCAGTGTTTTATCCTCCCAGACGAATCTGGTACCAATTTACCGTCCCCGGAGGGTAGAAGGCTTGGTTGGCCTGGGCGGGAGTCGACCCGGGATTTGAACCCGGCGCCGCGTGGGTCGTAGGCGTGCCTCTTGTCACTACCCACCTCCACCCAAAAAATAGGGTAGTGATAGTGAACTACAGATGGGATAAAGCAAATGGATTCATTCACTAGTCCAACAAGTATTGCCATCTTTCAGTCGGATCACTCTGGGTAAGCTCGGTATTATATTGTCTGTTGGCTAATGAATTTGTCTTAGATAGAGGCTATTGGATTTGACTGAATAAAGGTTATGAGACGAGGATGACGTCCTGGTATTCAGCAAGAATCTACCGGGGAATCCATTCATAGTATGACTGATATCTGTGACTTCTAAATATGATTGAGGCACTTGGCCAGGACTTCTAGGTGTTACAAGATACCTTGGTGTTCATTCACGCCACATTTATGTTCTTGTAACCATACTGGATCTGCCATAGCGACTGCACAAGGAAACTGAACTTTACCCTGCGAACACTGACAGACGTCTCCGTTGCAGATGTTGCGGCGTGCTGGGGTAGGGTAGGGGTGGATTCGGCTCCACCCCATTCTCGGCCAATTGCTAAAGCGAGCAAGCAACAACAACTTGTAGAAAACGGGGTGACACCGCACAAAACCGAGCTCCTGATACGCCCCAGCGTCTGCACCGAAAACGACTGCATACACATACTGTGTACAGTCGTCATCCTTGCACTTGATAGGGGCGTGTCGGCGAGAAGGAGCGTGCACACTGTTTGAAGCCTTCTCAGCCTTTTCGTTGAAACGCGTATGCGACAAAAAGTGATAGAAAACGAGTAACACGAAGGATATAATACAGTAATGTCACTCTCTGGTTCAACGATTGGTGCAGTACGGGTGCTGACGACCGCGCCGCACGCAGCCGCACTGACATTGACTATCAAGTGCAAGGATGACGACTGTAGTATGTATGAGGAAAATAACTGAGCTACCGAAAAACCCTCATTTCTGACAGACAAGATAAATTAAGAGGAATGAAATCTTTGCAAAAGAATTGCGAAACAAACAGAGCAAATGAACAGTGAAGGTGGTAATGAAAGACGAGATCACAGTTAAATCCAAAATGTCGATTATAATTTTTCCTCAGATGTTCTCGCTCGTTCTCCGCTTTCTCTGCTTCTTTTCTGGTTGCCTCCTTTCTGGTAAGGTAGCCGCTAACGTACGATGAAGAAATTGCTTATTCGTGTTGAGGCTCTTTGGTCGTAACCTGAACACCTTGATAAGCGAAGGTAATGAGCTACGATTTGAAGAGAAAGTGGACATTCACCCCCCCCCGTGGATCCTGGTCCTTGCTATATGTGAGGAAAATGGCTATGCAGCTACAGCAGCCTGCCACTTTTTCCGGGCAAATGTCAAAAATGCACGGGAATGGGGCTGAAATGTAGCAAAACCCGGATACCGCCTCCACAAACCGCCCGCGCTACCGCACAGGCAGTCAGGCGCCTCGCCGTAACCAAACGCACTACTTGTCTGCGCTCACTGATTTTACTGATTTCTGATTGTTGTCCATCACTGAGTTCTTATTTCGCTGCAGGACCGTGCAATCGATGCAAGTGCTGCACCGTGAGGCGAGCGCGGGCGGAGTATGGAGCAAACTCGGGTATAAATACCCTACATCTTCGTTCCCGTGCATGTGAGCGGAAAAAGTGCACGCTACGGCAACTGCATACCAATCTCGCACAGGGCGAGGGTCATTTTCGAAGAGGAGTGAACAGGAGTGAACATTTAGTTTTCATACTCCCTGTAGAATCTAATGTTCCATTAAAAACACTGCATATCCCGAAGGGTTACGTGACAACTAAAACTTTTGGTGGGGGTCCTGCCACGATAGGCCAGAGCGCAGAGCAATAAGGGACTGCTACTGCCAAGGCATCGTGAGGTACAAAAAACACGATGCGAGCCAGGAGATGAGTTTTTTCGAGGGAGGGACACCGGGGTGGATGAGCCACTTAGTATGCGTGAAAAGTTGGAATGTGAAAGGTCAAAGTGGCCATAAATCGCCATCAGGCAAGAGAGCGCAGAGAAAAACAGAAAGTTGGCGCCATTAAAGGGATTGAGTTTTAGTTGTCCGTAGACCATCCCGAAGATAGGCAGGCCGTGGCTGCGCCCCTAGCACCTTTAGATCAGGTAAAGAGCAGGTGTTGAGCCCAAAAACCTCAAAGAACTATGTACTTACCAGCCCTGAGGTCCGAACTGCTCCGCTCGTTCTTTAGCTCGTTTCGCCTCCCGGAGGATCAGTTCTGTGGCCTAAATTTTTAGGAATTAGTACCGCCATTCAACAGCTGCACATTATCCTGCTATCATCGTACTTTTCTCTTTTCCTCTTCGACACGTGTAAGTTTCGACGCCAACTTCTCCTCAGGGTTCTCCTTTGGTTCTGTTGAGGGCCCTGCCGAAGACTCCTCCGCCACCTGGCTACCGATTTCTACTTTCCTCTTCCTATTCAGCAATGAGTTCATTCGAGCCACTTTCTCCGCATTACTGGCCATCTTTCTGTACAATTTCAATTGTAAAATAAAGTTCGTTGAAGCATTTGATAGCTTAGACATGTTTAGAGGCACATGTGATTTTGTATATGCTAGGGCACCCTGCAGACGATAAAAAGTGGAGGAAACCGTCACGAACTGCTTTCTGCGCAAAGTAGGAAGTTTTGAGCTGTTGTTCTTGAAGTGTACAGTCCTCATCATTGCGGACTGTCGGGGCGGCTGAGCCGCGCTGCACTGTGACGCGACAGCGGCTGCGGCTCGGTGACGGCGAATCAGCTGATTTCGATGGAATTCGGCTGCGAATTCCCACTTTTTCAGCTCTTCAAGCTTCGAAAGTGGAAGGTGAGTTATTTTGAACAATTTTGAATTGTACTGGCTCTAATTTCCTTTATTTTTATGTCGATTATTATGCTCTTTTCCTTGTATTTTGCCTTATTTCAGGCATTTATTCAAATGGCTTGCATTCTTTCAGATTCATTCAGAGCCAGTACAATTTAAATTGTTCAAAATAACTCACCTTCCACTTTCGAAGCTTGAAGAGCTGAAAAAGTGGGAATTCGCAGCCGAATTCCATGGAAATCAGCTGATTCGCCGTCACCGAGCCGCAGCCGCTGTCGCGTCACAGTGCAGCGCGGCTCAGCCGCCCCGACAGTCCGCAATGATGAGGAATGTATGACGACCAGCGCATGAACATATAACAAAGGAACATGAACTCTTGGAGGAGTTACTATAAAACTGAG